CACACACACTACGGTTCAAGAAATAGCATTAGAAAACTTGATATATTTCACCCAACAAACCAACAAAAATAAATGTACAATGGCATTTTTTTACAGCAAACAAATGTAGTGACACACTAACACTAAGATGTAGATTTAGGGATTTTAAATTGTTTCTTCACAAATTGAGAAGCCTCAGAATCACCCCTATGACACAATACCCTAAGTAAGGTCTTTGTATCTGCCCCCAGTTTGCCCCTGCCCCCATGCATTTCTACCTCACTTGCAGATTTCAAGTCCTCAATCAGCTCCCTAGTCTGCAACCAACCAAAATCGCTCTCTCAAACCTCACCGTTAAAAGGTTCATGCATTTCATATAGATTGCAGTATATATTTATAGGAAAAACTGACCTCATAAGCGTGTAATTTTATCACTTGCCGAACATGTGCCACTTGGTTTTCAACAACTCCTCGAGGAAGGCCATCTCCCCCGGAGATGAAAAACTCCTGAGAAAAATACAATGTGAAGTTCGTATTTGAGTTCTTCCCGTGATGTTTAGTTTAAAGGGGATATGACTTTGATGTTTAGTTTGATATGGATCATTATGTTTCCTAGAAAATACTCCTTCCGTCCCATAAAAAGGTTCCACATTCTCTTTCGGCTGTCCCTAAAAAAGGTTCTACTTTTCACTTTTGGAAAAGAATTTGTGGCCATTATTATTTCTCTTTGCTCTACATTAGTTTCAACTACACAATTTCACTTTCCTTAATCTCCGTATCATTTCAAAAGGTGACATTTTTATAGGACCGAGGGAGTAACTGGGGGAAATTTTATGGAGAGAATGTTTTTGGAAAAGAAAAGTTTCTTGACCACAATTCCACAAGTTTACAACTTGTTTAACTTTAGTTGTTAAACGAAAAGTTATTTTACACGAAATTCTAAAGAACTGAAGAAAATACTTTCCTGTGACAAACCCAAGAAAATATTTACTAGAAATGCAAACAAACGGAGCCTTAAAAAGATTTAAAACCGCAGAATACCTTCAAGACCTCTAAATCCTCTTCCAATAGCTTAGCATCACTGGGATGGAATATGCGTGATGGGCCCCCATCTAATATGACTCTCAGTAAGCCATCCTGTGGCCAGTTGACATCTTAAAAGCTTAAATACCCATTGACATAGTTAGGATGAAAATACATTACAAATTTGAGATAACACGGGCAGACCAGTGAAGCTTGAAGGAGGCCAGTTACAACCCGATCTCTCATTGGCTCCATTATAACATCACACAGTTCATTGAGAACCTGCATGTCAGATCAAAGATTTTACTTTACATCGCACCATTCAAATTATTCTTGTCATTATTGCCAACTCATCAGCATACGGTATACCGTGTCAAGAGGATCCATCAACGCTTCAAATCTAGACTGAGTTACTGTGGGCTTGTATAGATTATCAATGAATGGTTCTCTTAAATCCCAAAAAATAATTTTGGTTCCTGTATGAGATGAATAAGTAAATAAATAAAGATGAATTGTTAGGATGCAGAAATGTGCTCTACAAAATAATGCAAAAAATTTCTCACCCGTAAACTCGCAGATCTGATCAATAGCTGCATTGATATCTTTTCTACTGCCATCAAATGTATTCTTCTGGACAGAATTCTTTATGCCCACATCTGTAGACTTCTCTGAATACAAATTAAATAGTATATACACCAATCTTATCCGGGTCAGAAAATCATAACCCAAATGGAAGATATTAATACAAAAATAGAGAGAATAGAGTCAAGGCTCCCTACAGGTAAATAATGACATCATGGAATATTTCTTTGCTATATGAACCAAAGGCCATTTAGGCAAATGGTGTGGTCTGATCTTAACTAGAAATTTA